GCATTTCCACCAGATGGCCTTTGGCAATAAGTGAGTACTGGGGACCCAGGTGGGGTGTGCTACTGCCCTGTCATGCAGCAGGGCCCTTGGACATGCCAGCAGGGAAGGGGACCAAAGATGAATCCTAGGAGGGGAGAAAAGGAGACATCTAATAACTACAAGGACATGGCTCAAGAATCTCTAATTCTTTCCTCAACCACATCCAGAGGAGATAACAGCACCTTTATGATCCCAATTAGTATGTGCATTATCTCACTGTATGTCAAGAAAATGTTTACTGGACCCTTCCTATGTGTACTTCTTGATGTAGAATGCACTGCCATAAATACCCTGTGGAAAATAAAACAAGGTTCTATTCTGATTGAATTGAATGAAACAGGATTTTCCTATCAAATTTTATTTGTCAAATTTAGCAGGTCATGATGAGTTGCTATTACACTGTAAGTAATCTGGATTTTCTATTTGTGTCCTGTTTAATTAAGTATGCATGTTGCATGATTCAGGCAGTTGGCAGAATCCACTCAGACCAGTGAGCTACTGACAGCTGATATATTCAAACACAAGAGAGGGCAAATGCCACTTAAATTCGAGACACAACCTTTCAAATAACCATTGTTCTTTGCTACTTACAAGGTAGTACCACGTGCTAGTACAGGTGAGATTTAGTTTATTACAAGGATCTTTGTCCTTGGTATAATGTGGGGAAAACCTGAAAGGCACAATATGTAAGATAGAAAATATGCCTTCAAAACAGATATTGATTAGAATTTGAAGTGATTTTAAAAACTTCTCTGTCAGTAGTCCTTTGATTTTCTCAGTGAATAAAGATCACAAGACTTAAAAAAAGAAAACGAAGTTAGTATTTAAGATAAATTTTTCTTCTGTGATTGTATGTAATGGTAACGTTTCCCCCACACTGAAATGGAATGTTTGAGAGGAATACAGGTTTACTTGCTAACAACCAATTCTTTCAGGGGTTATAAAGTCATAACTCGAAAAATGGAAACTTTCAGGGTATCACAGACCTTTTGATTTTGTGATGGTTAATTTTACGGTCAAGTCAAGGGTGTTTTTGAGTGAAATTAATACTTACATTGCTGAACTTTGGATAAAGCAAATTATCTCCTACAGTGTGGGTGGGCTTCATGGAGTAAATTGAAGGTCTCAATTTAAAACAAAAAAGATTGGCCTCCCAGGCAGGGCGTGCTTTCTTGGGTCTGCAGCTGGCTAGGCAGATTTGGGGACTTTGGTGTAACCAACTTCCATAATTTCACGGGCCAGGTCCTTATACTAAATGTCTTTCGATATTCACACGTATCCTACTGCTTCTGTTTCTTTGAGAATCTGAATACAGAGACCTTGGCAAACAGTCAGATCTAGGCATGGAAAATCCCCCAAGATCAAAGTCTATAGGTTCATCATTCAGTCTGGGGAGTCGTCTGAATTTTTAACTTGATAGATTGCAATGAATCCATTTTTATAGGGGACTGGTTAGTAGCTGTACTTGACATTTGTTGAAAAGTCAGATGTAACATTTCAGTTAGTTTTTACAAAACCCCTATAAGCTATGTGGCATTATTAATCCTATACTACAGACAACATCTCTAAGACTGTAGTGTGAGATCTGGAATCAAACAGCATTGATCTTGGACTAATACTTAACTTCTCAAAGTAGTGCTTTCCTCCTCTGTAATAGAGGGTTTGAATGTTATTTTCTCTAATGCTGTGTTAGAATTAAAGGTGATATAAAAACTGCAGCACTTTGACCTGCACCTGCCCCAGTGCTACCACATCGACTACCAGTTTTAAAGAACAAAGAAAGTATCTACCAGGATATTGTGGGCTGGAGATGCTCTACTGCTACCTTCAGTGTGTTATATGATTCCAAAAATAACTTCCTGTCAAATCAACGTGTTTGGTGTTTCTCCATCACCTGTGGTTCCCAAAATGTTCCACTTACACCTGAATGCCTGGCCCACAAAGCTCCCTTCAGAAAGCAGCGTGCTGCTAGTGCGCTTCAGGATGGGCGTGCAGGATTTGACATCTAGCATGGTAGCTTCATCAACTGTGGTGCTGTACTAATTAGTACACGCTGCATCCCCCGAGCCAACACCACGAGTCTGAGCAGGTGACATCACATCAGCTGGTAGGTGGGCCAAACGGCGTGTGCTGACCCAAGTCCGACTCAAGGCTGGGCAGGAAGGGCTAGCGGGCTGCTTATCTTCTTTGTGACGTAAGACACGTGACGTACTATCCAAATGTTCAAGGGTCATAAGTGGAAGCACTCTTTGGATTGACTTCTAACTGCTCATGAAGTCTACTCACTCCTGATCTCTGACACTGCTAGTATTGCTCTGCTAAAAAGTCGCGAGAATTTCAGATTTAAACTAAATTATTTAAAATGTTAAATATGGCATAAAATAGCTTTACGTGGGAATACTAAAATGATAAAGTCATCTAAGAAATGACTTCAATGAAAAATTAAGCTTTCAGAAAATGGTTGATTTTACACACAGCACTGCTTAGCATGTGGTAAAACTGTCATAGAACCACCTACCACCATATATATAGCTCACTAACGACATCAAGGTCAAATGTCGTATTTTGATATAGTTATTATTTTCACAAAGTAAATGGGAAAATGTTCATCAGCTTTTAAATCAACTCTAGATGCCATTTTGATAGCAGTACCCTTGAAGAAATACCAGAAGAGTGACTCAGTGATGCAGGTCCCCCACATAGGGACAAATATGTAGCCTACGGTGTCAAAGGCTGTGTGCACAGTGCTGGAGAGCCGAGAGGCCCCACATGAAGCGAGTTTGGAATGCCCGTACCCAACCTTTGGTGTCTGGGTACCCGCCCGTCCTCACCAGTCACTGGCGTGAGGAGTCACAAGAAGTAAAGGTGCTCTCTCCTGGATCAGTGGGACAGGGTGTCCAGAAAGGGGTGTGGCATGGGGGCGCCATGAGACTGGGGGTGAACCTCCTGGAATAAAGTGCCTGGGGTATGAATTGTCCAGCCTGGATTCTAGCAGAAGGCCAACTCCTGTGTGCCTCCTTGCTCAGGCAGGAGGATCTCAAGGAGGAGCCCAGCCTGAAAGCCTAGCGAGACCCTGCCTTAAAATAAATCAAAATCATAAAATAACAAATAAAATGGACTGAAATGCAGATCCATGGTGGAGCACTTGCCTATGTGTGAGTCAATCCCCAGCATTGGAAAAAAAAAAATGCTTTAAATTATAAAATCAAGTTGCTGCCCTAAAATATACTTAAAAATTTTTTTTGAAACAACATTGTTTTTGAGGATTTCCTTATTTTATATCATATCATTAAACACTATTATGGCTACCATCATGTTTATTATGTACAACAATTGACTAAAATACACCGTATACTTAGACTATATGTGAGGCTACCCTACAAGATCCCTTATTGTTTCACAGATAAATGCATGGCTGTAGGAAGAGAGAAGCACATCCTTAGACTCTCACATAGTGTTTGAAAATTTGGAGATACAAATGTCTCTACTTACTACACCCATCACGCTTGGAGTTGGACCCGTAACCTCTCTCCCAACTACACAGCACTGAATGGAAATTGTGCAGAGCTGTTTCCCTGGCGTAATAACAAAAGAAGGAATTCCTTCCGTGCCATATGCTGGAGGATGGCTGTGTGCTGCTGGACCCAGGACTTCTATCAAGACCTCACTGGGAGTGGCCATGTCTCTGCAGCCACAAGACTCTTCCTACATGGCTGGCAACCAGACAGAGACTTCCATCAGAGCAAATACAGGATGCTCCCAACTTACAAACACGCAAGCTTCGAACTTGCACAGGTGCACTGTATAAGACCCTGCTGGCTTGGGAACAAATCCCACCTAGGAACAATTCTCCCCGAATGGAACTTGTTCCTAAATTGGGGACTTCCTGTGTATCTAAAATTTGCAGATCATGTAAAGGACATGGATATTTTCTGACCATATTGTCCCTTAGAGCACAAGGTTTTCAGCTTTATTTTTGTTTTATCTCCAGCTGTAGGCCAAGAAGTGTCCTCCCGAGGAGGACATCAGAATCTCTGAAACTTAGGAATGTTCTATTACACAGAAAAGGTTAAGCAGCTGATCCTAAAAGAGGAAAATTAGCCTAGATCTCCTAGGTAAACCCAGTGAAATCATACGTGACCTTAAATGTGGAAAAAGAAGGCAGCAGAGTCAGGGTTAGAATGTAGGTTACACTGCTCCACAGAGGCTCCAGGAAAAAAGCCCCATCGGCCACTGCTGGCCTTGACCATGGGTGGGCCCAGGAGCCCAGGTTTGGGAGTGGCTCATGAAACTAGAAAAGCAAAGAAAACAAGTTCTCCCCCGAGGTCCAGAAGGACTGCAGGCACCTAGCAAGATCCTAACATGTGTTGTTTTAAGATATAAGGTTTGTGGTAGTTTTTATAGCAGCAATAGGAAACAGATTAGGCAGCAGAGTTTACATGGAACCAAATGCGACACCTTTGCAGGACTTTTGAAATGTCCAATTAATCAATTATATATACATAATCTTACGCAATACTTAAAGAGTTAACAAAAATTATAATGTTAATCATCTGTCCTTGCTCTTAGAGTTACAAACAGTATTACCAAGGAATAACAAACTTGTTTATTTCTTCTTCTTCATGCAAATTTGAAATATATGACAATTAGTTTGTGTCATTATAAAAATAAAGGCAGTTGTGCACATTATTAAATTTGAACAGTCTTACTCTGGCTAAGCAGATAAAGCAATAAGCTTATAAATTACCTTATTAGCCAATCATTTAATATGAGTAACCTCTTTCCTTCTAAAGTCTGCCTATGTTACTGTCAGAGACAAACCACCTGGAAATTAGCCAGGTTTTACAGTCCATGTAAACAGCAGAAAGCAAGCTTATTTTTAGAGATTTCACTGGGAAGCAGAGACCACTGCCGAGCTCTGACCCAGTATAAGAGCCAGCCAACTCGGAATGTCCACGTACCAAGGAATTGTTATTCAGGTCCATCTTCCCAGCAAACGGGCCCCATGTTGTTCCCACCGGAAGTTGCTGGCGACTTTGAATTTTTCGCTCCCCATCTTTCTGAAACACCTCCAGCTCTCCTGCAGACAGTAAAAACAAGCAGTCAGAACACTCACATGTGTCTCAGAAAGAGCGCCTCTTCCTGTTTTTGCTTTACGTGTACTGTTTTCTGGATTCATAAAAAGAAAATTAATTATGCTTGTCTGAAATACAACTGATCTTGTTATTCTGAAAGGAAAATGAAACCTGTCCTTATAATTGTATTCAAATCTAGTCCAATTTCTCTCTTGCACCTTTCACACACATTAACAACTGGAGTTAAGTCTTTAAGAACTGGAAATTACAATACTCCAAAAAGGAATGATCCAAGGCCAGAACAGATAGACAAGAAATACTAAGATGATAATTAAGGGTTAAAATTCTTAACATTCCCTTGAGATTCTTTGAGAACAATGTCTCCACAGTTTTTGAGTTACTTGATAATTTTCTGAAATTACTACTAAGTTCAAAGGATAAAAGAGTTCCATGTACAATAAGTAGCAAGTGATGCTTATTTTCTCAAAAAATGTTTCAATAAAATGGCCACTGTTCTCTACATGGTATTTTGGATAGGAGTCTATGTTACAAAAGACTCTGAACAGAAACTCTCAAGAAATTGTTGAGGACTGTCTTCTTCCTTGCACTTCCTCCAGGGTAATATTTTGAAATCACCAAAAAGAAAAGAGGAAATAAAGGCAGTCTACACAAATGCACGAAGTAGAATTCTTTAAATAATTTGTTAAGAAATAAATAAATGTATTAGCACAAAAATAAATAAATGAGGGCCTCAGATTTTCAAATAATAGCCACTGGCTTAAATATGGTTTGAGGTAAACAGGAAGAAAAAATACTCAGCTAGCAACTAGGGTTCCTCTGTTTTCTGTGAATAATTAAACTGACGGTATTTACACCAGGCCAGCATTGCTGCACATAACCATGCAACGTTTTTGTACTTTGAAACATTATCTCAAAAATATTGTTTACTTATTTTTCTATTTTTTTCTTTTTGGGCCCCTACTAATTTTTAAATGATATTTATTCTCGGACCACTCTTCAGTAGACATAAAAATGGGAAAGAACTGAACAGGAAGAAGGGTGAGAATCCATATAGAGTAGAAAGTGCAAGAACATTAAAAACGGAACAGGATGCATGCAGCAATTCTGTTTGCTAAGTGACAGGTGTATAAGTACACACACACCCACACACACAGCAGGTAACACATAAATGCTGCTTTGCCTTCGTTTCAAGTCAGTAGCTATCTTCAAATATGGAGTCTCAATCCTGACACTTTTTAACAATTAACTGTACTGGTACATTTCGGTAACACCGTGATCACGTTCATCAAGGGAATGTGCACCTGTACGCGACACGTCTCAGTTCTTGTTTTCCCACTCCCCTTCCCTCCCTGCCACCCCTCCACTCCTCTCTATTTACAAAAGCTTTGTTTCCATTTTCTCTGTCCTTTCTCTTATTTTTTCTTTCCCTTCTTTCCTTTCCCCCATCACCCCTCCGTCCCCTTCCCCTTTGGACCTTTTCTTCCTACTTCACCTTATCTATTATACATTTTGGTCCCCATTTAGATTTCTCACGCCAGAGAGACAACTCGGTATTTATACGTGTGTCCTATTTATTTCACCTAAGAGAAGAGCTAGTGCCACTAATGCTCAAGCTCTTTAATGAAACTGAAAGGGAAACAATACTCTCAAATTCATTCCTAGGAGCAACCATTACCTTGAATCTTGACATTTTTTTAAGCGTATATCATCAACCTGAATTCAATTTTATCTGTTCTTTATTTCTCTGCATTTGTTGTTCTCTTTAAATCATTAAAATTCCAGACACACTTTTTGTTTTTATTTGTGCTTTTTCTAAGAACCAAAATCAAACTTTGAAAACCACATACTGTGAAATGCTTAAATTATCTCATTATGAAATATAAATTCGTCTCTGTCTCTACTTGAAGATGCAATTCTCAGAACAATTTCACGTTCACAGTCAAAACTTTTATTTTAGGGATCATCCTTCTATTCTCTTTCTCTCAACCTCCTGACCTCTAAACTTGACCCTTACTGAAATGAAAGAACTCCTTCAATTAACAGACACCTACTCCTCAACTGTTTTCCTCCTGAGGTTTCAGTAGCTAAAGATAATCAGTAGTGAGAAAAAGAAATCCAGAAAGAAGCAGTAGATCCAGGTTTCTGTAAGATAGTTTTATAGTCAAATAACATTAATGGTCCTGAGTGATCCTTATTCAGAATCCAGAAAATATGAAACAAGAATGGTTCATTTTAAATAAATGGAATAACAAATAGATTTCTGAGATTTTTCTTTGAACGTAAATTTAACTCTTTTAGAATAGTTTCAAGTAATGCATTGGAGTTAGGGGCTTTGTAGAGAAACTTCCTCAAAAACAGGACACAGCCAACAATCCACGGCAGTATCACGCAACAATCTGAGGGAAAACATCTGTGTGTGTGTATTTATCAGTGATGATGCGATTGTTTAAACCTTATAGGATATGTTTTCTGTGTGAAAGGAAAAGCTCCAATTTCTATCACACAGGAATTCCCAGTATGTTCAACTATGATTACATTTTTTAAAAATTTCTTTATAATTTGCCATTTAAAACTAAAATGCATTTCATTCCCTCAGCTAACTACTTCCTAGGAATTGTGTTTGCAGAACTTTTGCTAGTTTTTACACATTTTTAAAAATAATGTCACTCTTATGTGATGCCAGAGGAATCACTCTGAGGGAAAATTTTTGAAAACCCTTCTAAAAAGCAATTCATCCTTTCTCTCCGCTACTGACATATTTCATTTGTGAAGGGTTCCGGCTCAGAGAGTGACTCCTTATCTACAACTGTGGATTCACAAGCAGGTCTGTCTTTCAATGGATTAAGAACTACAAACTTGGGGCAGATCACAAAATGACACCCACATATCTCCAAAATTTTTGAGTTGTGTTTGCATTAAAATTTTAAGCAGACCAAAAGCACTTTTGTGAGTGCTTAAAAGTGGCCATAACAGAAAGTACAGTAATGGTCCAAGCTATCCGTCAAGCTTTTCAACTTTATTAGGTAAAGAGCAAGCCTCAGTCTCCGTTCTTTCTTACCAAGAAGCTATTCTGAGGATTAAGGAAGTCTTTCTTGTTGCTACAGTGAATTTTAAAATTCACTTCTTTGCAACAGTGTTTATAAAAAAATACTGTGCAGAAATTATTTGCACAGACAGTGCAAATAATTAGCGTGTATGCAATTATTAAGGGTAAACAGGTTAGTCACAGCAATAAAAGTAGGACATAATGTAAATGGAAGTTATATTTAACTTACATGTTGCTGGAGAGTATAAATCAATTTTTAAAAGATTAATAGGTGTCATGAAATAGAAGAAACATCACTACACTAAAAGTAAGAAGGTATTTTTTAGTTCCAACTCTGTGCAAAAAAACAGCTGAATGGCCTTAAATAGGTTATACCTTTTCTGACATTTTGGTTCCTCATTGTTAAAGAAGGATTAGCACTCAGGGTTTTCCAACCCTGGCACTTGGTGTGGGCCTAGTTTTCTCTCCCGGGTGCGAGATGCTCTGAGAGGTGGACAGCACCCTAGGCAGCTCACAAACACCAGGTTCCACCTGTGGCTGAAATCAGAAGGCAAAGCTCCAGCTCCGCCCAGGCCATTTTGTTCTTTCCTTTATACCCCCATCCACTTCCTTGTTCATTTGTTCTCCAAATACCAAGCCTTACACAGAGAGCCAGGCCCCAGCACGACACAATGAACAAAAGAAACCCTGGCCTGGAGTGCACAGTGGGGGATGAGAGCGCATGGCTCGGAGGATTAAAGCGATGGTATCCAGATGTGGTATCCAGATGCGGGGAACTGCGGAGGGGAAAGACTACAGGTGAAATTCAGATCTGTATCTTAGCACATGCGCCGGCGGGCAGGCGCCCACTGAGCAGCCTGCCAGTGAGACATGAAGGAGGGAGATCAGCTGGGGCCTCTCAACTCCGGAAAGCAAGAAGGGCCTGGCATGGGTGGGAAGGGAGCGGGTGTCTGGAGCCGAAGGATTCTGTAGGACCCAAGGCAGGAACACAAGGAGGGACAGGATCCAGGGCAAGATGAGTAACTGGAAGAAGCCAAATGGTCGAGTGCAAGCTCCTCAGCCCTCGAACTTGTTTCCGCAGACAAAGCAGGAACGACGAGAAATACCATTCTCACGTAGCAGAGGTGAAGATCAACTCAGAGAACAGATGCAGAGCTCTAAGGAACGTTTATGGCTTCACCAAAAGGAAATTACAACTGACATAACTCGCTGCCCTTGGCGTCCAACTGCACGCTGGCGTGTGTGCCGCAGTCCCTCAGAGTCATCCAGCAGATCACGTCCTGTCCCACACCTTTCTCAGAATCTCTCAGAGTCTCCCCAGCAACACTCCCATGTGTTCATAAACCCAGGTAAGGATGAGCACCTGGCCGCCAATTCCTGCAGCTCTCATCCAGGCTCCTAATCCCTGCCAGGCAGGGAGAGCCTGGTGCAGCTCCACCTTCAGCGTCTCCGCTGCCAGGTTCCTGCAGGAGTCCCCTTCCCCGGCTCCAGGGAACCTGTGTGCTTGACCTGCACCCTGCCGTGTACATGTGGGCCCGCAGGCTCTTTCTGACTCCCTGCTGTGCTGCTCTCCACTGTGCTCGTCCTCACCACCCTCTTCCTCCTCACCTCCAGTTCTTCTGCATGGCTCCTGCCACCCTGCGGGCACCCTCTCCCTGCCCTTGTCAATGATTCAGCAATGGCTCTAACTTTCAGAGCCGTCCTCTTCAGTGGCTCTGACACACCCAGCAACAAAGCCGGGTCTCCTCCACTCTCCCTGCAGTCACATCCAATCCCAGACTTTCTGCACTTAATTACTCCTTAATTGGTTCCCCTTAACAACCTTCTTCACATCAACAGGACTAGAAAGCCCATGATCTAGAGATGTGCACACTTGTGAGTACACACACACACACACACACACACACAACTAACTTCCACTCACCTTCTGGTAAATCC